ATTTGAAACTTTGTAAGGAGTAAGCTGCAGCATCAAAAATTCCAATGAACTCATTCCACTGTCGCTGGTAGTGTGCTGTACAACAACGAGGCTCATCCAGAGCTGCAGGTGCTTGTTCCACTCCTCTTGTGGCGCGCACAGCTCGCCTTCCTGGCAGTCTCACTGGTTGCAAGTGAGGGACTTCTTGGCGATGAATGCAATACATCGTCGTCAAGCCAGCTACGTCTCTCCGTTGTTGAAGGCTGTCTAGGTTTAGTGGGAGGTCCAATGTCCTATCTTTGATGATTCTCTTCGCTCTTTCTTGTATTTTGTCGAGAATACCGAGGTGTGTGGTGTTTGCTCCTCCCCTGGAAAGACATGAGTATTCCAGTGTTGATCGAATTTGAGCCTTGTAAAGGAGCTCCTTTCCTTTGCCATCATGCAGACAACTGATCCTCTTGAAAGATGCGGGTTTCTGCGAAGCTTTTTTTGCAAGGCTTTCCATGTGGCTCTTGAAGGTCATCTTTTTATCGAAGATGGTTCCCAGTATTTCGGTTTCCTATCGTGAATGTATTGTATTTTCATTAAATTGGATTAACTTGGATGTCACTTTCGGATCTTTAGATAACCATGAGGAAACCTGCAACTTCATCCACCACATTAGGGGGCCCACTATGCTGTCCTGAAGGACGCCTGCCTGTATATTGTAGTAGGTTGAGTGTTTTCCATCGTGGACGACCCTCATCTGTCTGTCATATAGATCATGCTTTAGCAGCTCCAAGAGATTGTTTTCGACGCCGTAGCACTTCAGTTATTCAAATAAGCAGAGATGCCAAGCCCTGTCAAATGCTCCCTCAATGCCATTGGCCTCGATCATCAGCAACTGCAAGTCGGCAGCAGAACTATTTTTGTGGAACCCGTACTGCCGGTTTGACAACAGATGATCATTTTTTAGATGCTCCATTAGTATCTTACTGATGATTGATAGTAAAGAGCCATGATTTGTCTCCCCTTTTGAAGACAGGGATGGCATTATTTTGCTTCCATAACTATGGCCATCTGTTAGACTTTAAACAGAAATTTAAGATTATGGTGAGAGGATATGACAACTCCTTAGTGCACCTTTGGAGAAGCCGAAGACTAACGGGTCTTCTTGCTTTCTTGGCATCTGCATTACTTAAGAGTTTCTCCATCTCAAGTTTGCTGGTTGTAATGTTGCCTGGTTTTTCATGACAAGGCAGGCAGAGTAGATGGTTTTATTTGATGGTTTGAAACTTTCATTTTGCTAGAAAGTGTCTTGCTAGAGCCTCTGCTATTTCTTGTGTGTACCATCTTGGATAGAAGAGGAATAGCGTCTTCCACTGTGTTTCCTTTTTTTTTCCTTTGCGATATTCCACCACAACTTACTCCTTACTCAATTTCCTTTTCGTACATTTTTCAAACACTGGATGGCCCATTTTTGGGTGCGTTACAGGTGATGTACAGCCTGCCATGATTTCGTCAAATAATACAAAGTGATGGCAGGTTGCCATTCGGTGATATAATTCTCTCCCTCTCTCTCTCTCTTTCATCCTCTCCCTTTCTCTAATCTCCTCCCCCCCCCTCACCCCCCCCCCTTCTCTCTCTCTCTCTCTCTCTCTCTCTCTCTCTCTCTCTCTCTCTCTCTCTCTCTCATACATAAAGCGAAAGGAACAAGGGCGTGAGGGAAGACGAAGCAAGCGCGCCCACACCGCAGAGGGTCGCAACGGGATCCGGATCCAAAGAGTCGCTTCCTCTCGCTCATCCGGCCATTAAACCGCCCGGTATCTCATGGCTCATTCATCTCGAGCGCCGCTTAACAAAGAGATAGCAATCACAGCATCTCTCTCGCACACACATGGGCACTGAGTGAAAAATGCCGTCGGGACTTGGACAACGTTTCATTGGCATATCGGAGGAGAAAAAGAAGGAGGAGAAAAGAAGAAAAGCCACGGAGAATCGGCGATGTTGTCACTGACAGATTTCTGGCCGAGGTCTGTCTTGTCCCACAGAGCAAGTGGCGTCGCTGCACACCGAGGCACTGACCGCTATCAACCGCGCCATACAAAAGTTATTTACGACCATCAATCGCCATAATATTTCATTCTCATACCGCATCTCGCGCTTCATAAATCACTAAATTACACTGGGGACGTATCGAGTGCTTTTCTTACCCTGTCGGAGTGGAGGAGAATAAGAAAGAGGAAAAGAAATGAGAGAGGGGGGGGCAGAGACGGAGTGAAAGAGATAGAAATACAGAAGAAAACATTTAATAACAGAGAGAAAGACACAGACAGACACACACACACAAACATACACACAAAAAAGATAGACAAACAGGGATAAAGAGAGAGATAAAACAAAAGATGGAATGAGAGAAATATAGAGAAAGACAGAGAGAGAGAGAAGGAGGGAGAGAGAGAGAGAGAGATGGATGTAAAAGAACAGTGATTGTCATTTTATGCTCTTGAGGGTCATCTAAATTCCATGGCATTTGGAGAAG